GCTTTCTTGAAGGGACTGACCTATAGCGAGCTCGCCGCGGCAACGGGCGAGAAAGAGCGTGTGGTGTGCTTCACACTACCACCTGGTCAGCAGCTGTCCTTCGCACACTGCCAGGCTTTGAGTCATATGACGAATCAAAGCATTGTCTTCGGTGTCTGAAACCGGGGACGGGCACGAAGGATGCTCCCAGGGCATTCTCGCTGAAGCTCAGGTCCATCACTAGGAGCTTTGGGCTACAGCCTACTTCATACGACGAAGAGTTCGAGATGAGCCCAAACCTCTTGACAGCCAAGCACGTTGATGACAACAATATGACTGGGAAGGAAGAGGCTATTGACAAGTATGTCAAGTGTGTTGAAGATACGTTTGGGAAGTGCAAACTGAACAAGCACACATACACAAACTGTGCCGTTCGGTACAACAAGACCGATGATGGGAGCGTCACTCTCGACCAGGACGAATACATCAAACAGCTTCGTCCTATCACACATCCAGAACTCACAGGAGCTGATCCTGAAAGCAAGGCGACGAAGACAATCTCTGATATGTTCGTCAGTCTTCGTGGCGCTCTAGCCTATGCGCTGATTACGCAGGTATGGCTAATGGTCTATGTTGTCTCACTACAACGTATCCAAGAACCGACAAACATCCAGGTACGACGACTAAACGCGGTTACCAGAAAACTGCAGGCAGGTCCGAAGAAGATCGTGTATCATGCTATGACTCCAACAGGAGAAGTCGACCTGCATAGCGATTCTGGCTATCGTCGTCTCAACGGAGATGAAGAAGACGAAGTCAAAGGCTATGGTATCCGCGGGGCTAACCTGCTGAGGCGTGGCCACACGCAAGCGGGGAAACCCGTCGTGCACCTGGTGGACGCATACTGCAAGTCTCATCGACTGCAGGTGCGTTCGAGCTACTCTGCGGAAACACTGGCAGCAGCCCACAACTTGGAAGACTGCTACCCGACCATAGTAACGCTCCACGAGCTACACTCGGGACCATTGACCCCCACACAGTTAAAGAACATATTGGAAATGGGTGGTCTATGTATCAAAGTCACTCTGACTATTGATGCCGAGTCTGTCTTCAAGTATTTGTCTAGCAAAGATCTGAAGAAGCCCACAGAATGTACTCTGCTTGGGCACATCAGCTGGATCCGCCAGATGATGGAACGCGGAATCGTGGAAAGCGTCCAATGGTGTGACACGCGGGATATGACTGCCGATGGTCATACCAAAGGTAGTATTGACCGCGCGTTGCTCCTACAAGTAATGGCCGGCCAGAAATCCTTCAAGCACGAGCTGAAGAAACATACACCGTATAGGGCGGGCAGGTCGTCTCAGGACGGCCCTGCCTCCCGAGCTAGCGGGGAAACCCGCGGGCAGGTGCGCTTTAATAGCGAGGAAACTCGCCGGTAGCGAGGCTACTCGCGCGCCCTTTCCTTGTAGGCAGCCGCTGCTGCTTAGCACTGTTTTTTCCGCATAATACAAAGGTGCGGTACCTGCTCGTCTCCTCCCCCTCCGACTTTAAACGGAGAAGGTTAAAGGCGAGGTATAAATCGAGCATGTACCGCTGCCGTGCCTGGCTCAAGCCGGGCCCGGCCTAAAATGTGACTGTGCCTCACCGAGGCGCACTACTTGCATCAGAGATCGGAAAATCCCTTTTCCATTGACGATGCCCATCCTACTCTTTACTCCAGATCCCATGCTTCGTCTCGCTCTCTTGCTCATGCTATATGAGCCAAAGCCTGGGATATGGGAGCGCCTAAGGCGGACTACATACCTAAGCTTACCAGCTTGTTTTCGACTGGCCCCAGAGGCGCCCAAGAGGCCCCAAGACAGCCCAAGAGCGCTCCAAGAGAAGCGAAGATGGCCCCAAGTCGAAGCGCCTCCGGCGTGCACCGTTGGTTCAGGGGCTTAATTTTCTCTAACTAAGGGGTATGACGGGAAGCGCCTCCGGCGTGCACCGTTGGTTCAGGGGCTTCATTTTCTCTAACTACAGGGTACCGATCGCATCCCGCACCTCGCTGGCGGATGACGGGAAGCGCCTCCGGCGTGCACCGTTGGTTCAGGGGCTTAATTTTCTCTAACTAAGGGGTACCGATTCCATCCCGCACCTCGCTGGCGGATGACGGGAAGCGCCTCCGGCGTGCACCGTTGGTTCTGGGGCTCAATTTTCTCTAACTAAGGGGTGCGCGCCGCACCGGGAAACTCGCTGGCGGATGACGGGAAGCGTCTTCGAGGTACGAGAAGCAAGCGGGACGTTCTGGCTGAATCCTTGAGTAAATATATCTTATATATCTTTAACTATATGGGTTGCCGCGCTGCACGGGATGACGGGAAGCGTCTTCGAGGTACGAGAAGCAAGCGGGACGTTCTGGCTGAATCCTTGAGTAAATATATATATATATATATATATATATATATATATATCTCTCTATATCTATGGGTTGCCGCGCTGCACGGGATTTTTCGTTGGCGGATTCCCCAAAATGGCCATTTCGCTCGAGACATCCTCCAAAAATCGAGGTGTGGTCTGCCGTGCTCCTGTGTGGTCTGCCGTGCTCCTGTGGTCTGCCGTGCTCCCCACAGGAGCACGGCAGACCGCGCGCAGGAACCGAGAGGAGCACGGCAGACCAAGACGAGGAGCACGGCAGACCAGGCACTGAAACCGAGAGGAGCACGGCAGACCAAGACGAGGAGCACGGCAGACCAGGCACCAAGAGCGCCCTCAAGACGACGGAAAGGATGACCAAGACGAGGAGCACGGCAGACCAAGACGAGGAGCACGGCAGACTATGCCCTAAGAGTGCCCTCAAGACGGCCGAACAATCATCAAACAAACAATGAGTCTAACGTCGTCTTGGAATCGTTTTTGAGGGCATCAGTACGGCCCCCCAAAAACAAAATCGGCCCAAAGATGACCCGCAGAGTGCCCTCAATACGGCCGACCATGACGATTTCGCTGGGGACGTGTTCAATAAATTAAGAGTGTATCAGCACCGTCTGCTGCAACAACGCTGTGCTGGTCTGCCGTTCTCCTGTGGTCAGCTGTGCTGCTCTGCCGTGCTCCTGCGGTCTGCCGTTCTGGTCTGCCGTTTGGTCCGCCGTGCTCCTGTGGTCTGCCTTCCTGGTCTGCCGTGCTGCTGCCGTCTGTCGTGTTGCTGCGCTGTGCCGTGTAAGCTGATAAACCGGTCAGACCGATGAAGAAAACGAGAGTCGGGTTACAACGGCTACGCAGATTTAAACTGCTAGTCCAAAGGCTCTCCAGAGGACCCCAACATCTCCCAAGCACACCCCGAGAAGTCCATCATCATCATCATCATCATCATCATCATCATCATCATCATCATCATCATCACCATCATCATCACCATACTCATACTCATACTCATCATCATCATCCTCCTCCTCCTCATCATCATCATTATCATCATCGTACGCATCACCATCACCATCAGCAGCAACATGATCATCACCAACAACAGCAGCGTCAATGACATGATCTGGTCTGCTATGTTCCTATGGGCTGCCGTGCTGGTCTGCCGTGCTGGTCTGCCGTGCCGGACTGCCGTGCTCGTCTGCCGTGTCGGTGTGTTGTGCTGGTCTGCCGTGCGGGTCTGCTGTTCTGGTCTGCCGTGCTGAAGCTGAAGCTTTGGGGGCTTAAAGCCAGAGAAAGAGAGAGACATAGAGAGATAGAGAGGGAGAGAGATTCTCTAACTAAGGGGTACGGGCTCCATCCCGAAACTCGTTGGCGGTTCTCTAACTAAGGGGTACGGGCTCCATCCCGAAACTCGTTGGCGGATGACGGGAAGCGTCTTCGAGGTACGACAAGCAAGCGGGACGTTCTGGCTGAATCCTTGAGTAAATATATCTTTTCTTTAACTATATGGGTTGCCGCGCTGCACGGGATTTTTCGTTAACGGATTCCCCAAAATGGTCTGGCGTGCTCCTGTATGGTCTGCCGTGCTCTTGTGTGGTTTGCCGTGCTCCTGTGTGGTCTGCCGTGCTCCCGTGGGGTCTGCCGTGTCCTGTGTGGTCTGCCGTGCTCCTGTGTGGTCTGCCGTGTTCCGGAAAATTGGCCGTTTCGCTCGGGACGTCCTCAAAAAATCGGCTCCGGAGGGGACTCCGAAGCAGCATTATCTTGGAATCGCTCCCGGAGGGCCTCCAAACGGCCCAAGAAAGCCCCCGAAGGCCCCCCAGAGGACCCCCAGAGCGCCCCAAGAGACCCCCAAGAGGCCCCCAAGGGGCGGCCAGAGGCCCGCCAGAGCGCCCAAAACGCCCCAAGAGACCCCCAAGAAGCCCCCCAGGGGCTCCAAAGAGGCGGCCAGAAGTCCCCCAGAACGCGCGAAAAGGCTCCAGGAGTTCCCTGAGAGCTTCATATCGCCCCATAGAGCCCCCGAAGGCCCCCCCCGGGACTCCCCCAAGAGGCCCCCGAGAGGCCAGAGGCTACGACAGCCCCAAGAGCGTCCAAGATACCTCCAAGACGGCGCCGAAGCCAGGAAACGCAACAGGGATGTTCTCTGACGTTCTCGCCAATACGGTCTCTGACGCACGTGGTGGATAAAAAACTGCGCTTCCCGTTCTTGTCCGGTCAGGTTCCCCAAAATGGCCATTTCGCTCGAGACATCCTCAAAAAATCGAGGTGTGAGCTGTGAGCTGCGGGGCCAGTGAAGGCTGGAAGAAGCCCGAGGCCCACAGAGCCCGTTGGCCCCAGGGCCTCAAGGGCCAACCCTAGGGGCCCCAAGGGAGCCGCCAGGGGAAAGGGCGCGAAGCGCCAAAAGCGCGAAGCGCACGATTTCAAAGAAATCAGAAGGCAGCGGGGCGGAGGCGCACATCACGCCTGACAGCCCCCTCGCTGCATCAACAATGCGGGGCAGAAGACGCTGCCACACGCGCACGCCAAAGGAGGTGACGAGGGGCAGATACAACAAAAAGAGGAAAGTGATGCTGCATCACTCCCCTTCGTCACCTTCAGCGCGACGGCGTCTCTTGCGCCTGTCTTCGCGCGCCGTCTCTGCTGCGGCTGACCACTCAAGGAGGCTCGCTTCGTCGAGCCCGTAGGCGCTCAGCCAAGCCTCCCTCGAGGCCCCCGAGGAGTCAGGCGCCAGGGGCTCAGCCTCCGCCTCACCTGCTGCCGCCGCGCCGCTGGGGGGCCTTCGGCCGGCGTCGGCGGCCACGCCGCCAGGTGCATCATCGGGGCGGACGCCCAGCCACTCCAGGAAGCGCACCCTGGCGGCCATCGGCACCACGTCCTCCTTGCGCAAGCTGGGCACAGACGCTCCGACCCTCTTGCTGCCGCTGTGGGGCGTGCCAGCAGGGTGCCGCCCCTGCAACCAGCGCGCCTTCTGGACTCTCCTGCCCTTGGGAAGCCCAGCCGACCCTGGGCACTGCTCCTTGAGCTTGGGCGCCGCACCTGAGCGCCCGCCCAGCCGCGCGTACGCCCCGCAGTGGGTGCACGCCATCAGCTCCTGCTCGGCGGCTCCCTCCCCGCACTTGGCGTAGGCCAGGACGTGGCCGACGACGACGAAGGCCGTCGCCCCGAGGGAGACGCCACCAGCGCGCGCCGCCGAAGCCCACCCGTCGCTCGAACATGGGTCGGGAGGGCGGCAGCTGGCGGCCTCCACCACTGGCACTGCGAAGGAGACGGCCGCCCGCTCGCTGCCCTCGGGGAGGCCCTCGCAGTCCTTGACCTCGATCCCCTGCCAGATGAGGGAGGCTTGCGCCACCCAGCACGAGAGCTCCCTCACCACCTCCATCGTGCCAAAGAACTCGCGCCTGGCAGCTGGGCTGGTACGGTGGAGCTCCGCCCCCGCCTTGGCCCAGCGGTCTGCATGTCCGTTGCCACGGAGGTCCGCCTCCGTGATCTTGCCATCCATCACGTCTCTGGCGGTGCAGTGGGCTGCGACCTTGGTCACCTTGAGCGTGTCCACGTCTAGCGACGCGTAGATCCCCTCCCAGAGGTGGGCATTGGGCTTGTTGGCTGCCGTCGCGTACTTCTTACCCAACGTGAGGCAGCTGACCGTGGACGCGCAGTCGATGAGGAGCTCGTCAACGCTCGGGCCCAGGAAGCGAGACAGCATCCAGACCGCGAAATCCTCGCCGTCCTTCGCCGTCTGGAACGGGCAGAGGTCCTGGCGCACGCTGCCGTACACCGCGCACTCCATGTTGCCGTCGGAGTCGCACTGCACGATGCTCCATCCCGCACGCCGCAGGCTCTCGTGCTCAGGGTCGAGCGCCGACCCATCCAGATAGAGCCGCCCCCCGAGAAGACCGTCAGCGGGGCGATTGCACCACATGACTGACATGGCGTCTGTCCTCGTGGCGGCCCTCGGTGGCTGAGGGAGCCAGCAGCGCGCGAAACATTCACCCGCCTCCTCACCACGGCCGCGTGCACGATGCGCACAGCGCCGAAGGCGGTCAGAGGTAGAGTCACGCCTGGCCCCCGCAAGGACAGGACACTCGAACAGCCCGTGCCAGAGGCTGCCGCGGGGGGCCTGACAGGCACAGCAGCGAGCGTGCTCCCTCTCTCCCGCCGAGTGCAGACGGGTCTGGGGCCAGTGGGCGTTGGAAAGGAAGCTCACCACCGCCGCTTTCTCCCTGTGGCTGAGCTTGCTGCCAGGCCCGAGGACCTCCGCGAAGGCCTCCCAGAACAGGGGCGACTGGGGGAGCGCCCCGTGGCCGAGGCGGGCCAGCTCCGACTTGTCCGACGCGCGCCGTGCCCCTGCAGCTGCCAGCAGGCCCAGCTCGCGCGGCCCCAACATGCGCAGGTCCAGGAGATGGCCGTCGTCGGTTGCGAGGCGGGCCCCGTGAACAAGCCTCCAGCCAACCCTGGAGAGCGAGAGGGCCAGGGCATCCACCGGCGTGCGGCAGTGCACCCAAGGGGCCGCTGCCCCCGCGTGCCTCTGCACTGCCTCCTGCACGGCCGACTCGAACATGCGCAGCGGGACCTCCCCCGACTGGAGGAGACTGGCCGCCATCTGCACCGCGGCACGAAGCAGCGCGGGGCTCGGGTCGAGATCGGTGGACTTCATGACCTCCACCACTCTGAGTCTCAGCCCGAGCGAGGCGCCCTTAGGGAACTTCCCAGCTGAGCGAATCGCCGCCAGGCGCCACGAATGCAGCTCCCTATCAGGTACGCCAGTCACAGTGCGCCCCCACAGCATCGCCGCGGTGGGCCCAGCACGATGAACCATCTCGGTAACCGCGCCAGCTGAGCGAAGCACCCCTAGCCTACGTCCTCGGCGAAGGCCGCTGACCGCACGCACAGCTCCTTCATGAACTCCACGACGAGTGATGTTGGCGTCGGTGCCGAGGTTCCTCGCCTGAAGTCCCCTCTTGAAGGTAAAGCCATGCTCCGCCCAAGCCTCGGAGAGCTCCTTGGCGAGCTGCGGCGACGAGGCCAGGAATACCGACTTACTCTCGTTGAGTGGGAGGTGCTGCTCACGCAGCTGTCGGACCACTTCCCAGCTGGCGGCCACCATCTGCAGCTTCACGAGCCGAGCCGTGCCGACCGCCTGGAGAGAAATATCGTCGACAACATTCCTCGGCGTGACCAACGGGCTCGTCGCCCCCGCTGCCAGGAGGGCTCCCAGAACTGGGAGCTTCGCAACTGCTGTCGCACACGCACACCCAGCCAGCACCGTTCCTGTAGTGCCGAAGGCGGGGGAGGCCATGCCCGCCGCGAGGATCATCCTAGGGGCCTGGTAGGACGTGAGGAGGCCGCGCAGCAACCTGAGGTTGAACCCGAAACGTACCGCATTCGCCCAGAGAACGTCGTGCCGCACGTGCTCGTAGAACTTGCTGATGTCCAGGAAGAGGCTCGCGGCCTCGAACTGCGGGTTCGACTTCGCGAACCCCGCGAAACAGTTGTGCAACCAACCAGCCCTCTCACAGTCCCGCCCATCACGTCCCCAGAAGAAGGGGAAGTTGTGGTCCGCCTCCCAGCGCGCACAGCACGGTTGGCGGAGGCGCGACCAGAGCCGCAGGACCAACGGCAGCAGCGCTATGGGCCTTACCCCACCGTCTGCCTTCGGAATGAACACCATCAGGGAGACCTGCCCGTGGATCGATGCAGGGGCCTCGTCGTAGGCCGCCAGGATGTCGAGGATGCGCAGCTGCAGCGCCACTGGCAGAAGGAGGATCTGCCGAGGGTGCAGGGAGTCGCACCCGAGGCCCACAGAGGGGCTGTAGCGCTTGCAGGCTGCCTGGAGCTGCTCCAGCGAGATGGGGGGCAACTGCCACTCGCCCACGTCCCAGCTGCTGGCCCCTGCGCCCGAGGCAAACCCGTCCTGGAGCCAAAGCTTCTGCCAGACCCTCGTGAGTTCGCCAATCGCTGCCATACCCACAAGCCTCCTGCCCGAGTCGGCATCCCTGACCGTCGGCGGGGGCGTCGCCTTCGAGAAGCGGTGGGCCAGGCGGCCGCCCTTCTCGACCGCTGTCTGGGCCCAGCTGCGCCAGGCCTGGGCGCTCTGAGCCGCATCGCGGCGCTGCGAAGCATAGAGCAGCCCTTGGAGGTCCCGAACTGCCTCAGGACTGCCGCGGACGCCCGCCTGGTACACCAGGTCGCTCCACCGCTCAGGCGCAGCACCAGGAAGACCCTGACCGACCGAGTCGTCCGCCTCCTGCGCCGCCTCCAGCAAGAGCTGCGCCCTGAGCTCGGCCTGGTGCTCGTACCAGTCCGCATGCCGAGGGTGCCATCGGCCCGTGCTCTCCGCGCGCACCCGCTGGAGGGCCACGTCGAGGCAACTCCTAAGGCGGTGCGTGAGGAGGCTGAACCTGAACCTGGCTTCGCGCCTGACAAGGGCGCTGAGCGGCTTGAGGGTCAGCCTCGGCCCCTCTCCTCTGCCGAGATGGCGGGCCAGGTCAGCTTGGCCGATGCCGTGGATGCCGACCAGGGTGCCCTCTGCAGCAGCCGCCCACTCTCCGAAGGCGACGGAGAGGCTGGTCGGGGCAGAGCCCACGTCCCAGGACCACGAGACCTCCCTGGACGTGACCTGCCCCTTCTTGCCAAACGAGTAACGCACAATCTCCGCGTCCTCGTGTGCCCGAAGGAGCTCAGGGGCTACCTCGGGGAAGCGGGCGGGCCTGGACGGAACCTCGACCAACGCATCAGCCCGCACATCCTGAAGGCGAAGTAGGACAGGGCGATGAGGGTGCAGACCAAAGCCCTCGAGCGTGGTGGCACAGGAGGCCGTGCATGCAGCCAACGCCGCAGACGCCACGAACCAGTCGTAGAGGTGGTCACAGCCCTCAGCATGGCACGTCGCCTCCGCGGGTCCCAGGACGTGCCCCCGCACTGCCGCGGGCCAGCCCAACTCCTCCAGGGGCTCGGGCTCCATGTTGAAGTCCGCTTGGAGGACCCACGGGACGTCTGCCTCGAAGCCCGTCACCTCCGAGATGGCCGAAAACAAGTCGAGGTTGATGCCTCGGGGGCCGAGAGAGTGCTGGAAATACCCAGCAAGCACCAGAAGCCGAAGGCCCGAAGCTGCGGCAATCTCCACTCCGATGAGGCGGTGCCGCAGAGCCGAGGGCAGCGGGGCTGCGGACTCGTCGGCCAGCAAGCCGTCCCGCACTAGGATCGCCACGCCGCCTGAGGTCGCCAGAGGCCCCTGCTTCTCCGTCAACACTGCCGCGTGGAGGAAGGCCACGTACCCCAGGCCTCGAGCCTGAGCCGCCGCACTGGGCAGGCGCTCATGCGGGAGCCTCGTCTCCTGCAGCGCCACGACGTCGGGCCAGTAGTCGTACGCCTTGAAGAAGGCTTCAATGACCTCAATGCTCCTGCTCCAAGTATTGCCATTGCAGCCGAGCAAGACGAGGCCAGCTCGGAGCTGCTGGCCTCCTGCCCCGTCACCAGGCGGCGCCTTGCCGATGACGGCAGCCTCGCGAGCCGCACGCTCCTCAACGCCAGGCTCCAAGTCCGCCGAGCCCCAGGTCGCGGGGCCCTCCGCCCCCACCAGGACTGGATGGGGGACCTGGCCCCGCGCTCCAGCGCTCCTAGACGGCGTCGGCGGGCTGCACGCCTGCACGGGAGGTGGCCACCGCTGGGGGGGGGCCCGTCCCTCCGCCCCTCCGGTAGCGAGCGGGGGGTGCGCTTGCCCTTCACCAACGGGACCGAGAGCTGCGACGTCGTGGGGCTGAATCCCACCGCTCTCGGCCCCTGACTGGCCGTCGGGGGGCCACCACGGTGATCCCGACCGCGCCAGCTGGCTACTTCGGGCAAGGGCCTTGGGCGCCGCCCGCCGCCTGCGAGGGGCTCTGACGCGCCAGCGGCCGTCGCAGCGCCGCCTCCACCTGTCCCAGCAGCTGGGCCCCCGAGCTGTGGAGGCTTGCCACACCAGCCCTCCTGCGTCACCCACGGCGCGGCCCGTACCCTGCAGCAGGAGCCACGGCAGTAGCCGCAGCCACCAGGGGGTCGCCATCCGAGATGGCCGCCCCTTGCTCTGCGAGGGCCTTGGCGAGGCAGGGCTCCACCTGGGGCCACGCACCCAGAGTCGCTCCGTGCTGGCCACGGGCCACTGCGGGCCCGTAGGGTCCACCCGCAGACCTGGCCCGAGGGGCGGGCGGCCCAGCCGCGGACTGGCCTGTCCGCGGGCCTCCAGGGGCGGGGGCGGCCACGGGCCCACCTGAGGGCACGGTGTCGAGCGGCATGTCATCGTCCTCAGTCGCGAGGCCGTCGTCGCCAACGCAGTCACCCCAGCGCTTCCTGGCCGAGCTGCTGCGGGGTCTGAGCACGTCAGCGACCGCTTCCTTCTGCGTGTTGAGGATGTCGACGATCTCGGAGAACTTGGGGGGCAACTCATCCCCGTGCTGCTTGAGGAGGTCCGACAGGGCCCCAACCTGCGTGAGCAGCCCCTGGACAGCGTCCCCGAGCGGGCTCGGCACACCACCGACTGCCGCGTTGGCCCTCTGGATCGCCTGCTGCGTGACCTTGGCCTTGGTCTCTTCCAGCTCAGCAATCTGCCCAGCAACTTCATCAACTCCCAACTCGGCCGCAGACAGCTGCTCCTGCTTCTCCGCGATGAGGTCACGCAGCTCAGCCGCCTGCAGCTGGAGCTTCTCCCTCTTGGTGCGGGCATTGGCCAGCTGACGCTCGACCTTCTGGATGGCGTTGGCCTCGATGTGGAAGACCGAGTGGGGCGGGCGCCCCGTCCGCTGGGCCTCCTGGGCCGACTGCTCGAGCGCGGCGACCTGGTCCCTGCCCTGCTGGAGGGCCTTCTCCGCCTCACGCTGGAAGCCCTCCGAGAGCCCGAGCTCCGCGGTCGCCTGGAGCTTGTCGACCCGCTCCTTGGCCGCCACGAGCTGCGCCTGGAGCTCATCGTACTGAGACTTGGCCTCTCCCAAGGAACGCCCACGCCGTGTCCTGCTGTTGGGGGCGCTGCTGGGTGCCGTGCTCCCTGAGAGGGCCCGCTGAGAGGCGGAGCGCCTCGCAGCGCGTTGGTCAGCTCTTCCCCTGGGCTGCTGCACGAACCCGTCGGCGTCCACCCGAGGGGAGACCTTGTCGGAGCGGTACTCCTTCGTCCATGGGGGGGCGCAGGTGCCACACGCCTTGCACGTCCAACGCTTGTCGCACCAATTCCAAGCGTTGCAGCCACGCTTAGCACACAACCAGTAAGCCCTCCGAGCGGGCCCCGAGGCAACCTCCGACATGGCGGCTCACCGAGGGACTGGCCGCAGCTTGGCCGAGACACTCGGCCCTGCAGGAACGAAGAAGAACAAAATTGGCGAAGCTTCTGGCTCGTGGCAGAGCGCCCCTCGCGCTCAAGAACGCCCGACGGACTCGCGGTCGTCGGGTGCGCCATGGCCTTGAGCCAAAATGGCTACGGAAAAAAAAAATATCGAGGTGTGGTCTGCCGTGCTCCTGTGTGGTCTGCCGTGCTCCTGTGGTCTGCCGTGCTCCCCACAGGAGCACGGCAGACCGCGCGCAGGAACCGAGAGGAGCACGGCAGACCAAGACGAGGAGCACGGCAGACCAGGCACTGGAACCGAGAGGAGCACGGCAGACCAAGACGAGGAGCACGGCAGACCAGGCACCAAGAGCGCCCTCAAGACGACGGAAAGGATGACCAAGACGAGGAGCACGGCAGACCAAGACGAGGAGCACGGCAGACTATGCCCTAAGAGTGCCCTCAAGACGGCCGAACAATCATCAAACAAACAATGAGTCTAACGTCGTCTTGGAATCGTTTTTGAGGGCATCAGTACGGCCCCCCAAAAACAAAATCGGCCCAAAGATGACCCGCAGAGTGCCCTCAATACGGCCGACCATGACGATTTCGCTGGGGACGTGTTCAATAAATTAAGAGTGTATCAGCACCGTCTGCTGCAACAACGCTGTGCTGGTCTGCCGTTCTCCTGTGGTCAGCTGTGCTGCTCTGCCGTGCTCCTGCGGTCTGCCGTTCTGGTCTGCCGTTCTGGTCTGCCGTGCTCCTGTGGTCTGCCTTCCTGGTCTGCCGTGCTGCTGCCGTCTGTCGTGTTGCTGCGCTGTGCCGTGTAAGCTGATAAACCGGTCAGACCGATGAAGAAAACGAGAGTCGGGTTACAACGGCTACGCAGATTTAAACTGCTAGTCCAAAGGCTCTCCAGAGGACCCCAACATCTCCCAAGCACACCCCGAGAAGTCCATCATCATCATCATCCTCATCATCATCATCATCATCATCATCATCATCATCATCATCATCATCATCACCATCATCATCACCATACTCATACTCATACTCATCATCATCCTCCTCCTCCTCCTCATCATCATTATCATCATCGTACGCATCACCATCACCATCAGCAGCAACATGATCATCACCAACACCAGCAGCGTCAATGACATGATCTGGTCTGCTATGTTCCTATGGGCTGCCGTGCTGGTCTGCCGTGCTGGTCTGCCGTGCCGGACTGCCGTGCTCGTCTGCCGTGTCGGTGTGTTGTGCTGGTCTGCCGTGCGGGTCTGCTGTTCTGGTCTGCCGTGCTGAAGCTGAAGCTTTGGGGGCTTAAAGCCAGAGAAAGAGAGAGACATAGAGAGATAGAGAGGGAGAGAGATTCTCTAACTAAGGGGTACGGGCTCCATCCCGAAACTCGTTGGCGGTTCTCTAACTAAGGGGTACGGGCTCCATCCCGAAACTCGTTGGCGGATGACGGGAAGCGTCTTCGAGGTACGACAAGCAAGCGGGACGTTCTGGCTGAATCCTTGAGTAAATATATCTTTTCTTTAACTATATGGGTTGCCGCGCTGCACGGGATTTTTCGTTAACGGATGACGGGAAGCGTCTTCGAGGTACGAGAAGCAAGCGGGACGTTCTGGCTGAATCCTTCAGTAAATATATCTTTTCTTTAACTATATGGGTTGCCGCGCTGCACGGGATTTTTCGTTAACGGATTCCCCAAAATGGCCATTTCGCCTGAGACATCCTCCTAAAATCGAGGTGTTGGAGGCTATCGTTTAAGACGTCTTATGTTAAAAATGACGGTTGACGGGAAGCGTCTTCGAGGTACGAGAAGCAAGCGGGACGTTCTGGCTGAATCCTTGAGTAAATATATCTTTTCTTTAACTATATGGGTTGCCGCGCTGCACGGGATTTTTCGTTGGCGGATGACGGGAAGCGTCTTCGAGGTACGAGAAGCAAGCGGGACGTTCTGGCTGAATCCTTGAGTAAATATATTTTTTCTTTAACTATATGGGTTGCCGCGCTGCACGGGATTTTTCGTTGGCGGATGACGGGAAGCGTCTTCGAGGTACGAGAAGCAAGCGGGACGTTCTGGCTGAATCCTTGAGTAAATATATATATATATATATATATATATATATCTTTAACTCTATGGGTTGCGGGGCTGCACGGGAGTTTTCGTTGGCGGATTCCCCAAAATGGCCATTTCGCTCGAGACATCCTCGACAAATCGAGGTGTTGGAGGCTATCGTTTAAGACGTCTTATGTTAAAAATGACGGTTTCGCTCGAGACATCCTCAAAAAATCGGGATGTTGAAAAATATCAAAAAATTTTGTTATGCATGAAAAATGAGCGTTTCGCTCGAGACATCCTCGAAAAAATGAGATGCCGACAGAGGTGTTTTACAACCTCTTATGTTAAAAATGACGTTTTCGCTCGGGACGTCCTCAGAAAATGAGCAGGAGCACGGCAGGCAGAAAAAAAGGAGCACGGCAGACCACACAGGAGCACGGCAGACCCCACAAGAGCACGGCAGACCACAAAGGAGCACGGCAGACCAAAGAGACGACACAAGGAGCACAGCAAATCCCGCAGGAACACGGCAGACACCACACGAGCACGGCAGATCCCAAATGAGCACGGCAGACCACAGAAGCACTGCAGACCACACAAGAGCACCGCAGACCTCACAGGAGCACGGCAGACCCCACAGGAGCACGGCAGACCCCACAGGAGCACGGCAAACCACAAAGGAGCACGGCAGACCACAGGAGCACGGCAAACCACACCGGAGCACGGCAGACCACACAGGAGCACGGCAATCCCCACAGGAGCACGGCAGACCGCGCGCAGGTACAACATAAACGCGCCTTTTGTTGTACCCCGAACGCCGCTGGCGTTTCCCCCACAGGAGCACGGCAGACCCCACAAGCTTGCGGGAAACCCCAAATGAGCACGGCAGACCACAGGAGCACGGCAGACCACACAGGAGCATGCAGACGCCACAGGAGCACGGCAGACCGCGCAGGAGCACGGCCGGCGCCGGAAAATTGAATTCCGAGGCGGTGCCGAAAAAAGGCCACTCCAAGAACATATTTTCTGTTCGCAAAATATGATTTTCTCCTTCCGGCGCCCTGGAACCCTCCTTCGGGCGATTCCGGCAACCCGGGCCGGCGCTCGAAAAGCAAAAAACGCCCGGGACGGCACCCGGGCCAGGCAGCCGCCCGGGCGGGGTGGTTCCGGCGCGGACGGCGCCGGAAAATGAATCCCGAGCGGTTCAGGGTGCCGGAAATAAAGGGGCCACTCCAAGACACATTTTCTTTCGAAAAAATATTGATTTCTGCTCCCGGCGGCCCGGAACCCCTTCCGGGCGCTTCTGTGCACCGGGCCGGGCGCTCGACCAAAACGCCGGGCCGGAAACAGGGCCAGCCGCCGGCTCGGTTCCGGCGCAGCCGGGCGCGGAAAATTGAATTCCGAGGCGGTGCCAAAAAAGGCCACTCCAAGACACATTTTTCTTTCGAAAATATTGATTTTCTGCTCCCGGCGCCCGGGAACCCTTCCGGGCCGCTTCTGGCACCCGGGCCGGCGCTCGAGCCAAACGCCCGGGCCAGCACCCGGGCCAGCGCCCGGGCCGGTTCCGGCGCCGGCCGGCGCCGGAACATTGAATTCCGAGGCGGTGCCGAAAAAAGGCCACTCCAAGACATATTTTTCTTTCGAAAATATTGATTTTCTGCTCCCGGCGCCCGGGAACCCCTTCCGGGCCGCTTCCGGCACCCGGGCCGGCGCTCGAGCCGAACGCCTGGGCCAGCACCCGGGCCAGCGCCCGGGCCGGTTCCGGCGCCGGCCGGCGCCGGAAAATTGAATTCCGAGGCGGTGCGGAAAAAAGGCCACTCCAAGACATATTTTTCTTTCGAAAATATTGATTTTCTGCTCCCGGCGCCCTGGAACCACTTCCGGGCCGATTCCGGCACCCAGGCCGGCGCTCGAACCGAACGCCCGGGCCGGCACCTGGGCTGGCGGCCGAGCCGGATCCAGCGCTGGCGTCGGCTCTGGCCGTCGCCGGAAAAATTGAATTCCGAGGCCGCGCTAACAAAACTCATCCAAACAGATTTTTCGAAAGTGCATCATTTCTGCTCCCGGCGCTCGGAGGCTTCTGCGTCTCAAGGAGAGGTGGAGCAGACATTAAAGGAGGTAAAAGCAAGCACACGAACGCTATGGACGCGCGATGCGCTGCCACAAGCCAGCTTCCCGCAAGATCGGTCCAGAGTGGGAGGGGACGGAGCTGGGCGGGTGAAGGACCACCAGAGCACTGCTCCAGCCTTCCCTCAGCCCTGGGTCTGCTGACCACACAGGAGCACGGCAGACCACACAGGAGCGCGGCAAACCACAAAGGAGCAAGGCAGACCCCAAATGAGCACGGCAGTCCACACGTTCGCACGGCAGACCCCACATGAGCACGGCAGACCAAGAAGGAGCACGGCAGACCACACAGGAGCACGGCAGACCACACAGGAGCACGGCAGACCACACAGGACACGGCAGACCCCACGGGAGCACGGCAGACCACACAGGAGCACGGCAAACCACACAAGAGCACGGCAGACCATACAGGAGCACGGCAGACCACACAGGAGCACGGCAGACCACACGTTCGCACGGCAAACTCCACA